GCATCCAGATCAGTTCTTTCTAACCTACCTCAGATAACCACAAGTAACGCACAAACGAAATTTTTACCCCCCAATGTAAATACCCCAACAACACAGACAGGAACAACAGCTAAGTACGGACCGTGCTAACAGACGGTATGACAAATTTCCAACCTCCACAGACATCGTCTCAGACAAAAGTAACCACACTACCCCATCCCCACCACAATCCCCTCAAATCCCTCGCATCCGTTTCCCTTCTAGCCCACTACCTCATAAACATACCACCCTGGTTCCAAATCACTCCCCCCACACATGACAACCCCTCCTAATCACAATGGATACCCAACCCCCCAAACTTAAACCCACAGACTCCTACTCTACCCAACCCAGCATTCTATTACTGCGTTCACCCTGCATACGATTACCTGAACGACAGTACCCGTTAATAAAGAGAGAAAAGTCAGAATAACTTGAACAAGGTCAAATCCACAAGAGGGGAGGTTAATCATGTAGTTAACAGACTAGCTAAAAAAAAAAAAAAAAGATAGATCGGTTCAGCGAAGGGCCAAGCAGCCTAGCTCAGTTAGTTGAGCACGTAAGCGGTACACACGAAGTCGGTATTCCACCCCCTGGCACGGCATCCATTCAATTCCCCACGGCGGCCCCCTGTGTGACATACTTCGGGTTCACCGGCAGAGAAAGTCTTCATCCCTCCTGGCTGGTTGTGGAAGTCGTTGGATGTCCCGACTTTCCAGCCTGCACCAGGTGTTAGAAGCTTGGGTGCTGCTCCCCCCACACAGAGCAGGGTTCAGTAGCCGTTGACCCATAACTTTAGGATAGCTTAGTTCTGATTAGTAGATTTAAACCACCACCAGTACATGCCAGCTATCGGCCACCGGGCCCTTTCTGAGGTCGCCCACCGCCGATTCATTTTATCTACAGCGCTCGGCCTCCTAAATTTTTGGAGAGGCTCAAAACAGCTTCTCCAGTCACCTGGGGCCATGTACTGGTGGTCTGAGGCTGGTTCTTGTGGTTCTGAGTTGGTAGACTTAGGGGGTCTTATAGTTGGGCTAGCTGGCCCTCACCTAAAGACCTTCTACTCGGTATCGGTTCCGGTCCTTCCGGATGATTGCTAGGGGGTCGTATAGTCGGGCTAGCTCACCCTCTCCTGGTCCTAGACCTTGGACCCTCTACTCGGTATCCGTTCCGGTCCTTCCGGATGATTGCCTATCTTAGGATAAATTTTTTGGGCTAGCTGGCCCTTGCCTCGTCCTAGACCTGGGACCTTCTACTCGGTGTCAGTTCCGGTCCTTCCGGACAATTGCTAGGGGGTCGCATAGTCGGGCTAGCTGGCCCTCTTCTGGTCCTAGACCTTGGCCCCTCTACTCGGTATCGGTTCCGGTCCTTCCAGATGATTGCCTATCTTAGGAAAAACTAAGTTCCAGGCTCGTCTGGGGGGTGGATGGTCCCTTGCCTGGCCCGGGTAGGTAGGTAGTGTGAGCACTGTGAGGGTACAATAACGAGAGAAGGTAATATCATAGGGGGAAAATGCGACTGTCACCCATATGAGGAGAAGACAAGCCTGCATTTCTATAGAAAAAAAAAAAAAGATCAGCTCGATGGTTCAGCAAAAAAAAGTCGCAAAAACTCTTAGGAGGAGGGAGGGGTAAATGGTTGGAAGGAAGACAGAACAAATACCAGAACTTCTGGTACTTGGTCTGTATTTCGGGTCTGATACAGGAAAGAAACTTACTACAAAAGAAAGTGAGGGGAAAGAAGAAAACAGAAGGGACAAGCCCCAATACAAGTCAGTGAAAGGGCCTCGTTCGACACCACTAGAGAACCCTAGAGTCTCAAGTGCGCCCTAACCCGAAAATCGTGATTAAAAAACACTCACTGCAATCTTCACATTCCATGTGCACTTCACAAAATACTTATACGGCCGCACTTGAAACCAAACTCCTCCAAAAAAAAAAGAAAAAAAAAGAAACCGAACTCCATGGCTTGACCAATCCTGGACCAGGATAGCCTTTCGCAAAAAAAACAAACAAAAAAAAAGCCCAGGCCCACTTGGAGTGCTGGCGGTATCCGCTGGCACTTGAACTCAAGGCTCCCCGGAGAGGTACCTTGAGCTCAAGTGCAAATTTGCCCCGGCGGCATCTGAGCTTCGAGGGCTAGCACTAGAGGGGCGGAAAGTAGAAACAACTCCGCGGCCAGGTTAGAGTGAGGCAAAGTGGTGTCGAACGAGGCCCCAAGAAACCAAGAGAGATAATTGACATGGGAGAAAAGAAAACAGGAAGCACAAGAGGGGGGCAAGGCTGAAAGCATGCCCTACTTCTGAAGCTACCAATTTCTTTTCTTCCTTTTTTATGCTTGAGAAAAGTGCGACGGCCTTGAGGTATCATCGTCGAGCCGACTGACCCTAGGCAATTCAGAATAATTCTAGTATTTTACTATCTGCTTCTAGTGGAGTTCGAACTCAGGTCTAGGTAATTCAGAATAATTCTAGTATTTTAAACTATTTTACTCATCTGCTTCTAGTGGAGTTTGAACTCAGGTCTGTATTTCAACAACAGCTCAAAGGGCGTACCGACTGAGGAAGCCGACATCATTTTTTTCAAAGCTCAAGTGCAGAAAGTGGATGATCTGAATGAGCAAATGTGGGTTAAGGCAACAACTATGGGAAACTTGAATGACTTGCACAGAATACAAGTTCTGCTGGAACAGGACAGTCAAGACATTACCACCCCTCTAGAACCGTACTACCATCTTCAGCCGAACAGAACACCATTTTCACGGCCGCATCTAGACCAACAGTCAACTATACAGGTACGATTGACCGGGCGTTCTATTCGGGTGAAGACGGTAGCTGTGAGGCATGAGGTCTACATGGACGAACGGCCAGATAGCAGGAGCCTCTGGCTTTATCCTCTGGCATTGAACTGCCAAGCCAGGAGAAGGGACAGCATGTGGAAGGAAAATATGATCTTCGTTGGTGGAAGAAAAAAGCCCCACCAAAACTGGCTTGATCGGAGAAGCACCGAGTGCCGTCAAACAGTGGGAGAGAGGAGAATCAAGAGAAGGGGAAGGGCTTGATGTACTGCCAGTGATAAAGTGATCATCGTCTACAATGGACAAAAAAACAGACACAGCTGAGAGACCATCTGAAATGGAGACCCTGGTGGGAGATCTCCCAGCTGTCATACATCGCTTTGGGCACGAGCATCCTCTTCCAGAGTAGCCGGCAGAAGATGGGTAAGGGTTCTCTACACCCAGGCTCCAGGCTAGAGGCATAGCACAAGTCAAAGGATACCTCTCAAGAGCCTACACAGTGAGCTCAAGAGGCAAAAAGATCCATTGACAGCTCCAATACTACTGTTCACCGTCGAAGACATGATAACTGCATTCTAGACGAATGAGCCGTCTACGCTACTCTATGAGCGCCTCACAGCGGTGAAAGATGTGTAGGAAACCACCCCTCCTTTCAGGAGCGCACAAGAGCAACGCAGGCGTGTCAGTTAGCCAGCATCTGGATGTAGTGGACTTAGCTTGATACCAGATACATCCAGGTGGTTCCCCCAGAATGCAGGTATGTGGACAGCTGGAGACCAGATACATCCAGGCGGTCCCCCCAGAATGCAGGCAAATGAAGACTACGTGGCAAAAAAAGAGTCAAAGACAAGGGGATGGTGGCATGCAAATTCACTTCCCCCCCCTCCCATAACACAAGTGGTTAACAGGAACCCATAAACCCCTTCAAAAGAAACACTAGGTACACAATGGATGAACCCAAAGGGAGCAATAAGATGTTCTAGGAATCTCGCTCGGCATTAAGGACGCCTGCAAGTCTATAGCAACCAACATGTTCAAGGAGAGATGAAGCCCCGAGCATTTGCTAGTCAAGAGGTTTGTTGCTGAGACCCCCTACCTCAATTCACGGTCACATACGAGGAAGATCGCGATCTTACTCTCTGCTAAGAGGAAAGTACTACAAATAAAGCCGTAGTAATACCGCTGTGGGTATGACTTAGGCCAGGCTAGTCCCAAAGTGCAATGGGAGACCCTGCAACCTAGACCGTCCACCTTTCGGATCGTGGATACGCCCTGGCCAGGTAAGTATTACACTCCGCCTGCAGGGAACATAGACAACTCCCAAAAAAAAAAAAAGGCCGTTCCCAAGACGCTGGAGACTCCAAATTATAGGGTGCAGTGACTGTAAGTGCCACAGATAGACAGTGATCACCCCAGCAGATGCCTCTGAGGTTCCCTTGCGGCCTTCCCCCAAACAAGAGACACCCTCATCATGAATGAATAGAAGATATCACTGGGGTGTGATACAGCCTCGATGAGGGAGGTGGTGGATTGTGTTCGGGGGGAAGACAGCAGTATTTACTACCAGATATAGTGATCATACATAAGGAAGAGCAGACATGATCTCTTTATCTCGGCCTTGCAGTGGCTGATCGGAGGGCTCAGGTACCTCAGAGGCTGCATGCGCCTCAAGAGTAGTGGAAGCGGTACTTGACCAGTGGGCTTGCCTACAAACAAGCGTGAATGTGGGCCACCACCTCAATGAATACTCTGGACATCAAAGAGAAAGGGAGAGAGAACCAATAAGCCACCTGCAGAAAGTGGAAATGTGAGAGAAAAGTGGCATACAGAAAGAGTCAGGCAGAGACAAAAAGCACAAATAATAAAAAAGCGAGAGTTCCTCACAAACAGAACTGCCCGGTAAACCGTAGGCAGAGAGAGAGAAAAAAACAATATATATATATCGTCACAAACAGAACTGCCCGGTAAACCGTAGGCAGAGAGAGAGAAGAGGACAACAAACGAGGGGCTGTGACAAACTGTTTCGTCGGAGTTTCACCGACTCATCAGGAGGCTATATATATATAAAGAGAGAGAGAGAGAGAGAGAGAGAGAGAGAGAGCAAACAGACAGACAGACAGGTTCAAACAGAAAAAGAGAAAACAAGGGAGGGAGGGAGGGAGAAGACGACCCCCATATTGACGCACATTTAACGAATTCATTCTTTCGAGAAGCCCCCGCAGCCGTGCAAGTTCTGCAGCTTGCTCTGCCTTGGCAGCATTGACAAACTCCAGCTCCCTCCGGAGGCGCATCAGCTCTTTGGCTTGCTCGCCCTGTGCTTCACCTGCACTTTGCAGCTCCCCTCTCAAGCAAGCTATCTCTGCTCCCAGTTCAGTCTGTGACTCACCAGCGCTATCCAGTTCTCTCCTGCATATGCAATGGACAACACCTTCCTTGTTCAGCCAAGTGCAAACCAATAGTATCCACGTCGATGCTGATGCGTCCCCGATTACGGAGCAGAGGTAGGTGGAGGAGTATACACACACACGCACACACACGCACACACACACACACACACACATAGAGAGAGAGAGAGAGAGAGAGAGAGAGAGAGAGAGAGAGAGAGAGAGAGAGAGAGAG